CGGTACTTGTCGTCAGAGCCGTGACGTCGTTGGCGACTACCAGAGCGGGAGCGTGAGCGTGAGCGGCGGCGGTAGCGATCGCGGCTGTCAGCTTGCCGGTAGTCGGGAGAGTCACGACCGCGCTTCTCCCCTGCGTAAGGGGGCTGTGGCGCACCACTGCCCCACGGCGCATTGAGTGGCATGGCGGGCGCTGTTGCTGCCATTGTTGGCGGCGGGCCGTACGCGCCACCCACACCGACGTGTGGACGCAGTTCCATTGGATAACCACTGGCGTACGGCATGGCTGGTGGCGGTGCAGCAGCAGCAGCTCCGTACGGGGCGTAGGGGCGTGCGTTGTAGCCGCCACGGTAGCCACCGCTGTGGCCCATCGGAGGGCCGCGGCCGCCACGGTAGCCGCCGTTGCGTCCACCACGGTAACCGCCACCGCCGCCGCGGCTCATGAGCTCATACAACTCGGGTGGAACCTCCTGGTTGGCGCGTCGCAGGATGTCCATAAGGTCTCGAATCGTCTTTGTCGGGTCTGCCGCCGTAATGAAAGAGTATGCATCGCCTCGCTTTCCAGCGCGTCCAGTACGTCCTGTTTGCAGGTGCAATGGCAATACGTAAAACACGCGGTTTTACACAACACACACATGGGGAGAGAAAAGCAAAGAGAATTTTTCAGGTTCAGTGATACCAGAAGGCCGCGGGCGGTTTTTTAGGTTTTTTTTTTTCTTTTAAAAAAGGTCGATGTTGACGGCGGCGTTCCTGGCGGTGTGGAGTGCGTGCGCCCGGTAGGGGGCTGCGGCGTGTGTGTCACGCGGGTGTGGCTTGGAGCATGCGGCTCGTGTGCGGTTCCCCCGCAACGAAAGAGAAGAGAACCACAAATAAAAAAATAAGCAGTAAGCACAGCAGGAGCCGTAGCAGAATCTGTTCCACCCATGCCGCTGCTGTGGTGAACTTGTTTGTTCTTGTGTGAATTCAGCCCCGCTACTGCAATGTTCCCTCCTTTTTGCGGAGTTGCCCAGCATGCAGGTAAAGCACCACACAGAAGCACGCAGCCATGCACAGCAGTCAGTGTGCATCACGCCAGACGAGGGAATTTGAAGAAGAAGACAAGGCAATGACAACAATAGTGTCACATCCTCCCCTATCGTTCTCTGCCCGTCTAATCTGTCGTACCTTTTGTGTGTGGGTGCGTGTAGGTGTGGGTGTGTGTGTAGGTGTGGGTGTGGGTGTATGGGATGACGCCTTCCTACACCTTTACAGATACAGAGATCCTTGCATGCATGCCACCCAAGCATACGTTACCCACAAAAGAGAAACACACTCCTACGCCTTACTCAGACCCTTTCTCTTGGCATCTCCTTCATACTCGTGCCCACACACACACACACACACATACATACATACACCAAGGACGATAGTAGCCCACACAGAAACACACAGAAACCAATGTGCGCTTTGGGGAGGGTGGGGGAACTGTTGTTGTTGGTTTTTTTTTGTTTCTGTGTTCCCCCAGCCGCACCCCGCTGAGCGCAGGCACCGCTGTGAGACAAGCCGTCGCCAAAACAAAGACCCGGAGAGAGGTGGCGGGAGAGGGGGGGACGCACACACAGAGGGAGGGAATATGGGAACTACAAAAAAAAATACGGATAGAGATGATGAACTGCAGAGGGAGGGGGGAGGAACGAAGCAAAGTTGACTCAACCGGAAAGTCGTTCACATACCAATACGGTGCACATAATCCTCAATGTTAGTCGGCATGTCGAAGTTAATTACCACGTCCAAACTCTTAATGTCTAGTCCACGCGCGGCCACATCGGTCGCGACAAGCACTGAGCGGTCGTCGCGGCGGAACCGGTCAAGCACGTAGTCACGCTGCGACTGCTCTTTGTCGCCGTGGATAGCCATCACCGCGCCACCAAGGAAGCGCCGCAGCGAGGAATGCAGAGAGTCAGCGGTTCGCTTGGTCTTGACAAAGATGAGCACTCGCTGCTGGCCGAGCTTCTGTAGAATTTCCTCCAGGCGGCGCTGCTTGTCGTACTCCTCAACCGCTATGACGTGCTGGCAGACATCGTTGTTGGCGACGAGGTCCTCTGAGCCAACGTGCACGCGGATGAAGTCGCGCTGAAAACTTGCCGCAAGGTTGCGAATCTCCTGCGGCCACGTGGCGGAGAACATAAGCGTCTGCCTGTCGGAGCGTATCTGCGAGCAAATCTTGCGGATCTGCACTTCGAACCCCATGTCCAGCATGCGGTCCGCCTCGTCAAGCACGAGGTAGGTGACGCGCAGGAGGTTGGTGGCGTGCATCTCGAGCAGATCGATCAGCCGCCCCGGCGTCGCGATGGCGACGTGCACGCCAGCGCGGAGCGTGCGAATCTGCGGCCCCTTCGGCGTGCCGCCGTACAGGCACGTTGTCGTGATGCTCGGCGCGCGCCGCAGCACCTTTCGCGTCTCCTCTTCGATCTGCACAGCGAGCTCGCGGGTCGGGGCGAGCACGAGCGCAATGGGGCCGTCGCCGGGGCGGATGGGCGGCTGCGCCATGATGTGCAGCGCGGCGGGCACCATGAACGCCATCGTCTTGCCGGACCCCGTCTTGGCGACGCCGACGAGGTCGCGCGAGTTGAGAAGGATTGGCCACGCGATGGACTGGATCGGCGTCGGGGAGGCGTAGCCAAGGTCAATGAACGCCTGGTGGATCGCGTCCGGTGCTACGAGGTCGGAGAAGACGAGCATCGGCTGCGGCACACTGTCGCCGTAGATGGTGATGCGATTCTCGCGCAGCCACTGCGCGATCTCCTCATCGCTGCGCTTCGCCTGCGGCTTGTAGTAGTTCCACTGCGACGCCACCACCTGCACCTCCTTCCAATTCACGTCGCGGAGGTTTGCGCCGAGGGCACCCATGCGATCGCCCGAGTACCCGCCACCGCCGTACGACATCGTGCTCTCGTAGATCTGACGCTTCGCGTTTTCCCCGTCCGGTCTTCTCCTTTGTCTTGCTGCTGCTGCTGCTGCTGCGTTTGCTCTCTCTCTCTCAATCTATCTCTGCAAGAATGCGCTCCCTTGTTGCTGATGCCGCTTAGGTAGTGGAGTAGTAGTGGTGTTAGTTTATAGCCCTACTCTCTATTCACTGGTAAGAAGAACAAAGCGAAAGAGAGAAACCCAACTTTCCCTGAAGGCACATCAGTTAGGATGCAGAGTGCGGATGTTGCGCCCAGGCAGGAGCCGCAGCAAGCCTTCGGAGGGCGGCGTTAGTGCTNTTAGGATGCAGAGTGCGGATGTTGCGCCCAGGCAGGAGCCGCAGCAAGCCTTCGGAGGGCGGCGTTAGTGCTGTCGCGTTTGTTGGTAGTGGAAGTGGTGGTGGGGGCGGGGGCGGAAGAGGAGGTGCAGGAATGCAGCCTGCAACGTCGTGTCTTAATATTTTTTTTTCTCATTTCCCTCCCTTCAACTCTTAATGTTTCTTTCTTCGTTCTTCTCCGTCTCCCATCTATTCCCTTCCCTTCTCTCGTCTCTTTTCTTCGAGCAAAGCATACACACACTATTGTCGCGGCATGGGCACACGCTTGTATGTCGAGACACACATACAAACAACATATATATATATATATATA